TTTTGATTTTTGAACAGCTGCAAAAAGTAGAGAGATGGCTTCCAAAGCCGTGTGGACCATGTAGACAATGGGAAGTTTTGCAAAATTAACATTAATTATTTTCCGAAACACAGAAATGAATGTTCCTGTTTATATAGAAAAGAATTCAGCCCATCCAAACCTTAACTCTCGAATAACGTACATGGACGCCGCCATGTTACATGTTGCTTGTATATGTAATAACCGGTTGTTTGTTCCCGGCGTTCGAGCGGCCGACTCTGACCCACGAACAAATCGAGCTATTCGTGAACATACAGGAACAAGCCGCCCGAACTCGGCCTTTAAAGAGTCAGACAAACAATATAAAACATTCCGAAAATGCCTGATTACTGCCTACATCTTAGCCGGACAAGCAGGGCCGGTAATATCCTAGCAATACTAGTATTTTTTGCTTGCAATTAATTATAAATTATTGCTGTGACAAGGCAATAGAGGGAGAAAAGTCCCTGATATTAGACCTATCTTTGCCATCGTAAATAAACTTTTAAAATTTTGATACACTGTTCAATTATCCATGCAAAGTTTGTAGGTTTATTTTCCTCCTTCCAATACACTAGTGTTCAAAAACTATGTACGAATTTGGCGGAGACTGGCCAACAATATGTTGACTTTTACTGGAAAGCTAAGTTCATAAGTAACAAAATGCGCTATTTCATCACAGGGAGTGATCGTGAAATTTCATAAAATACGCTTTTGTACAAATGCAATAATAAAAATGATTCAAACAAAACACAAAATCTCGTAAACAACCAGACTATTCATTCCCACAAAAGTTCCAGAAGAGAGAGCTCTTTAGGGGCAATGACTGCACATATAGATTTAGGGCACACAGCGTAATGCAAGCAACTGCGCAAGCATTAAATTTAATGTTGTCATGAGATCATACCAAGCACCAACAAAGGCATAAAAACTCAGTTTCCTATACCTCAGTGCTCAACGTTTTAAGGATGTATATTACCAGCCACAAAATATGTCATAAAATTTAAAANATAGCCGCCCCTAAACTGTGAGCAACAGTTTATTTAATACTGGCAAATGGTTATTGAGGAACACTGGCAATTTGGAACAACAAAACTTTGAACAGCAAGATGTCTGGCAAGGTCAATAGGTAACATGTATAGACTGAACAAGATTACAAGATGGCCGCCCCATGTTAATGGGGTGGGTGAAGATGAAAGTAACAACTGGTTCTAGTCTGGATTTGGAGAGACAGGGTCAGCCACTTCAGCTCTGTCTTCGGTCTCATCAGGCAGCCGGATCAACTTGGCAACTGGGCGGGTGTAAACTCGTCCACCTGATTCAACTCTTACAGCACGTACACGCCCATCATCTCCAGGTAGTACTTCGATGATGCGTGCCAAAGGCCAGGAAGCACGGACCTGGTGTGGATCTATCATCAAGACCACATTTCCAACTGCAAGATCGTCTTCTTCCTTTCGCCATTTCTGGCGAGCTTGCATCGAAGGAAGATAGGAGTCGACAAACTCCTTCCAGAACTGTTGCATCAATGCCTGACATTGACGCCAACGACGACGGCCATGGATGTACTGATCTGGGTAAACTACCTGTGGCGGAGCGTGGTCTGGCCGCCCCAAGAGCAATGTGAAAGGTGTGATTGGATCAGGGTCTGCTACATCAGAGGACACATATCCCAAGGGTTTTGAGTTGAGGAGAGCCTCTACCTCGACCAGACTGGTGTATAAGACAGCGGCAGACACAGTCCGATTGCCAAGGATGGCATACAAGGCATTCTTTACAGAACGCACCTCCCTTTCCCATGTTCCGCCAAAGTGTGGAGCAGACGGCGGATTGAATTTGAATCGGACCTTATACTTAGCAAGCTGCTCCTGCAAGCTAGGCGTCATTTCACTGAAGGCCTTGGTCAACTCTGTCAATCCCCCCTTGAAATTGGTTCCATTGTCACAGAGGACCTCATGCGGGGTACCTCTTCGAGACCGAAAACGGTTAAATGCCATGAGAAAGGCATCGGCGTCAAGGGAGTCGAGCAGATCAAGGTAGACCGCTCGGGTAGTCATACATTTCCAGATGATTCCCCATCTTTGCTCACTTCTCCTGCCAAGGGAGACTGTGAACGGGCCAAAGCAATCTACCCCAGTAGAGTAGAAGGCAGGTTTGCCAATGCGGAGTCGGGATGGGGGTAGATCTGCCATCTTTGGAATGGAGGGTTTGCCACGTCGCCTAATGCAGCCCTCACATCGACTTTGCAGGCTCCTGATGGACTGTCTTCCTCGTATTATCCAGAAGCGACGTCGCAGATCGGCAAGAACCATGTCTGCACCACCATGTCCCAAGCGGCAATCAGCCTCTTGAATAAGCAGACAGGTAACTGGATGCTTGGGGTCTAACACTATCGGATGCTTGGCATTAGAGTCCAGCTCTGTTGCCCGACGGAGACGTCCACCAACCCGGATCAGCTGACTTTCGGCGTCATATTCAGGGCAAAGACAGCTCAGTCGACTCTTGTTAGAGACAGGCTTTCCAGCAGACAAAGTTACTAGGTCTTTCTGAAAGCAATCTGTCTGTACCCGTTGGAACAACAACCTCTCAATTTTGGATCGATCATCAGCACTCAGGAACGGAGGTCCCTCCTCCCCTTGGGATTGGTACAGGGCTTTACTGTACCCTTCAACCAGCCCGTCCCAAGTGTCAAAGCATGAAACATCGATCTCTGGACGTTTTTCCTGAGGCGTCACCATCATCCCAGTGAAGAAGTCTGGTTTCACTTCCAAACGGGCTTCCTCTTTGGTGAGTTTCGGTGGTTCCTGTGGCCAGTCCGTTTCAGACTGAAGCAGAAAGAAGGGACGGTGCCATCGACTGCCGTCACGTATTTGTTGCAAGGGTAGACCTCGAGTAAGGTCGTCTGCGGGATTGTTTTGTGACTCTACATAACGCCAGGTGACATGATTCGTCAGCCGTTGAACTTCTGCAACTCGGGCACCGACAAATCTGTTATAGCGACACGACTCCGAGTTTATCCAGGCGAGAACAGTCGTACTGTCGCTCCAGCAGGTAGTTCGGGCTCTAATGGACAGTTCATCTTCCAGGAGTTCAACCAACTCCGCTCCACTTACTGCAGCCATGAGTTCCAATCTAGGCATGGTCTGGACTCGCTTTGGTGCCAAACGAGATCTAGCCATCACGAATTCAGCTGAGACTTCACCGACTTCGTTCATCACTCGCAGGTACCCTACCGCCCCATAGGCCTTTTCTGATGCATCGGTGAATACATGCAGCTGGTAGCTGCTGGTGGCTGGATTGAAGTGTAGAGGAGTATAGCATCGAGGCAAGCTGACATCTTTCAGTTGGGCAAGCTCTTGCCTCCACCTCAAATGCTTGGCCCGAATGCCTTCCTCACCTTCATCAGGAATTTCATCATCCCAGCCCCATGGTCGCTTCCACAATTCTTGAACCAATATCTTGCCTCTCACCATGAAGGGCATCAGGTAACCAAGTGGATCCTTTCCGGAGCAACGCATTACGTCACTTAGCACTGCTCTTCGGGTAAGGATTGGCCAGTCCGAGAGCTGGAGCTGGTATGTCAGGACATCCCTCTCAAAATTCCAGCGAGGACCCAAGGCAACTTCTTCAGGAGTATCACCACTGAAGTTGAGCCATCGTTCGGTATTGTCTGACCGAGCTTCAGATTGTAAGTCAGCAACCACGGCAGGCTTGTTACTTGCCCACTTCACAATTGGGAATCCTCCCGCACCGAGGGACTCACGCAACTTCTCCACAAGCTGCTTGGCCTCATCAACCGTGGGCTTACCATCAAGGCAATTGTCTACATAAAAAGCCTCTAGGACACTACGGAGGACATCTGGATCTCCCACATTGTCCCTTACATGCTTCTGGAGGGCAAAGGACGCACAACATGGACTGCACGTTGTCCCAAATGGAAGTACATTCCATTCAAGTTCCTCTGGTTCCCTGTCAGAGTTGGGTTCCTTCCAGAGAAAGCGTAGCATAGATTTGTCTGCTTCCAAAGTTGAGACACAATGAAACATCGCCTTGATATCCCCACATATGGCAACCGGGTGTTTTCTGAATCTGAGGAGAACACCAACTAATGATGACCCAAGAGTCGGACCCGGGAGAAGGTCCTCGTTCAGCGATTCACCCTGGTAGCGAAAGGCACAATTGAAGACAAGTCGGGACTTGTCATTCTGGCGCACAACATGATGCGGAATATACCACTGCGATTCAGGTTCCTGGTCACCCCCTTGGTTGACAACAGTGCGGACAAGGCCTCCTTCCTTGAGTTCCTGGATCTTACCGCAATGAATCTTTGCCAAATCAGGGTCTCTCAACAAGCGCTGTTCATTTCTCTTCAATGAGGGAAGCACTGCACTGGCTGGACAGGAGAACGTGGGCTTACCCAGCCTCCACAAAAGTGGTGTCGCCACTCGGCGTACATTACCTATCTCGACAAAGGTTGATTTCGCTTCAAGCAGGTCCACTGCTCGTTGGTCCTGCTTTGATCGGGTAACTTGCTTTCTCTGAGTATACATTTGGACATCCATGTTCCATAACCGACAAACGTTCTCATGGAGGACAGCATCTTGTTCACTAGACTGGTAGTGCAGCTTTCCGCGTCCTCCCCGCCGCATGGTCGGCCCTTGCAAGGCCCATCCTAATCTCGTTTTGACCGCTACTGGGGCATTTTCTGGGCCAAAACGACTCTCCCTTGGGATCACCAAGTCTGGGCGGTCACTTCCAAGCAGAAGAAGTGGCGTCACCTTCTGGCAGTCATGCAAAGGGAGATTCTGCAAATGAGGCCATCTTCTTTGAAGATCTTGGGCAGGGACGGAATGCTCAGATAATCTAAGCATTGGAGAGGAGAAGACATTGCTAACATGAATCCGCATGTCTGGATCATCCAGAGGAGCAATGTCAAAATCTAACATCTGTCCCCTACAAGGAGTACAAGCATCTCGAGCGGTCGCAATCGGAATTTCTGTTGCAGTCCCTCTCAGTTGCAAGGCTTCGGCAGCCTCCATGGGCATCATGGAGAAATTTGATCCATCATCCAACAGGCAATAAGTTGTGAGCGATGTGCAATTGCCGTACAAAATGATAGGCAAAATTTTCAAGCTCACTTCCTTTGGGTGCCAAGGACTGCCATCGCCATAGAAAACCGAGAGGTTGGGGTCAAAGCTTGAGTAGTACGAACCATATCCCGGCTGTTTGAGCAGATCATGGAGAACCGTCAAGTGGATCTCGCTGCACTCCCGACATGGCTTGCGTAGGTCGCATTCTTGACCCTCTCGGTGTTGGCGGGCGCACCTCCAACATCTACGGTTTGCCTTTATCCACTCAATCCGCTGGCTGGAAGAGAGCTTATCAAATTTATCACAGCGGGAAAGCCAATGCTCCCCTTCACAATAGGGACAATGCTTAGGAAATGGTTTCTTTTCCTTGGTTGGTCTGGATTCCGTCAAATCGCTTGTATGAGACACTTTAACAGGTTTGTTGTGTACCCTTGCTGCTTGGTTCCCAGCTTTGGTGTGGTAGGCAGCAGCACCCCTTTGTCGTCTTTCGTGATGACCAGGTGAGGGGTCAGATTTCAGGCTCTCATTCAACTGGATCTTCTTGCGGGCGACGGCAGAGGTTTCCTGTAACCATGCATTAATGTCGGCAAGAGAGAAATTACGCACACCTTTATTGGTCATGGCCTTCAAAAAGGCTGTCTGGTGAATGTGAGGAAGCCTGCTGTAGAGGACGCAGGCAGTGGAGTTGGCTTTCAACTCAGCCTCCCCTTCAGGAGCACTCTCCAGTTGAACAACCAACGCCGAGACAGTGGATGCAAGTTCCACCAGTCCTTTGGAATCATGGGCAGCCAATTTAGGCCAAGAAGTGATCTGTTCGATCTTACTTCGGATGAGAATTCCAATGTCTCCATACAACTTACGCAAGGTTGACATTGCGAGGGTAAAAGGACTAGCATGGTGCTCAAAACCAAGGACATCCTTTTTGGGTTGTCCTCGCAACTTGGACCTCACAATGAAATACTTTTGTAATTCACTTAGATGAACAAGTGGTCGGATACAGCCCTCAACCATGGCCTCAAAGCAACGGAACTCTGAGGGGTTCCCACCATTGAAGACTGGAATTTCCATGCTAATACCACCAGCAGATGCTGCCAACATTGAGCTCAACATTTGATTCTGGTTTATACCTGGATCAGCCTTCAGTGCTACTGGTTGACCAAGGGAAGTGCCTACTCCGGTAGAAGGCAGAGGGCGCCCTTGGGGTGAAGGTTCACTCGGTATGGGCGTGGTCGGAGTCACCTGTGCTGAGGAGTGGTTACCTGTATCATTAGGAAGCGAAGAGCAGACAGTGGTATTAGGAATGGGAAAGGAATGGGTGCTACACACTGTAGTCCCAGAAGTAAATGGCGGAATACTGTAGCAGGTTTGCTGTACCTGACTTACGGCAACTTGCTGGCTATGCAAAGGCACTGATATTTTTGGATCAGACCTGGCATCCACACACACAGGCAGAGCAGCACTATTACTGCAAAAAACTGGCATGGGCAAGGCAGCATTATTTGTGACAGCAACGGGCATGGG